GTGACCATTTGACTGGCTGGTAGCTATGATGCACAATTGACCACCAGAGGGCAGACACTCAATACAGGAGCTGCCAAGCATTTGGGATTTTCAAAATAAATCCACTTTCCATCGCCAGTCACAATTCGATGCAAAAAGGACTTTCTTTCGTGCCATTGAAGCAACATTTTACTGAGACTTTTCAGTTTTCCATTTGTCTTTTGTTCAGTTGATGTGGCACCCATTTTCCTTCCTTTAAAATCTTTCCCATTTCTTGTAAACAATCGGAAATTGTTTGCTGAGCAACGTTTAATCTTTCTGCAAGTGGTTTTTGAGTTTGGCACACATCTTCATCCAATAATGCTTGTAACTGTTGGTCTTCCAACTTTTTACTGTTGACCTACGCATTCTTTGTCCTTCACATTGAAATCATCACCTTAAATGCATTTAAACCAGCATTCACAAGTATCTTGAGATGGAGCATGTTCACCATAAGCTTCCCGAAGTGTACAATAACTTCCAGCAGCACTTTTCTTCAAAATAAAGTAATGAATTAAAACTTCCCGCAAATGCTCTTTTTTTGGCATGAAATTCAACATTTTTAAGCGTAAAAATATCTAGGATATTACCACCAGAAAATTTGACATATGAAGTTTTGAAGCTTGTCAGTACAACAAAATAGCTAACATATCAAATCGCATATATATCAACATATGTGTAACTCCATCTATTGAAAAAAAATCTGCATTATTAACCAGTACACCTGTTAAAAAAAACAAAAAACATGCCATTGAGCAGCCTTAAAGGTATAATTAAAAGTTAACTTTTTCATTTCAAAAATAATTGTCATCTCTTGTTGTAGAATATGGCCCTAAGCTCAGCTAGTATGTTAGGCTCCAATGTCCAGCCATGCTCCTTTTATTATATGTACTTGTTTGAAATTTCCATAGACTGGCCCAGAGGAAAGGGAGCAGGGAGTTCATTATAGAATCCTTCATTTCAAATGTAACAGCTAACACTTACTGAATGCTTACTATATGCTGGGTTTTATGCAGAGCATTTTATTTTAAATATATTTTTATTGATTTCAGAAAGGAAGGGAGAAATAGAAACATCCATGATGAGAGAGAATCATTGATTGGCTGCCTCCTGCATGCCCCCTACTGGAGATCGAGCCCACAATCCCTGCATGTGCCCTGACCAGGAATTGAACTGTGACCTCCTGGTTCATAGATCAATGCTCAACCACTGAGCCACACTGGCTGGGCATATACAGAGTACTTTAATTCTAACAAAACCCTATCAGGTAGATATGATTATTCCTGTTCTTCTAGAAGCATCTCTCTTTTTGTTGTTCTGTGAGTCTTCTACTACTGTTATTCTGAGAGTTCTCTTCTCCATCATTTTCTTTGCTTCTCTCCTGCTTTGAATCCCCTATACCTGCCCTTACCATGGTGAGCTCCCTCATTTTGGTGAAGTATATCCTCCATTGCATTCCTAAGAATACCAGTGTCTGAATATGTCATTATTGTATCTTTATCATTGAAAAGGATAGTTTGTCTGGGTATAGAATTCTATGTAGGAAATACTTTTCTCTCATAATTTTAGAGATATTATGTCTCTTGTCTTTCAGTTTTGGTATGATCTGTTTTGTGACTCCCAAAACACTGAGTAGAATTGCTTTATCTCTGTTGCTCTGAAATGTCAAAATGATGTGTCTCACTGTGGGTCTTTTTTTTTTTTTTTCATGCAATTTGCCTAATACTCAATGGAGCCTTTCACTCTCAAAATTCATTTCCTTGAGTTCAAGGAAAGTTTCTAAAAAGTTTATATAGTATTCTAAATGGTATACTCCAAAATGTATAATATAAATTCAACCATGAAGATACATTAGACAAACCCAAATTGAGGGACATTCTGTAATTAGCCAGTACTCTTTAAAAATGTCAAGATTGCAAAAGACAAAGACTGAAGTACTTTTCAGATTAAAAGAAACTAAGGAAATGTGACAATTAAATGCAATGTGTAATCCTGAATTGGACCCTGGATCAAAATTAGTGGGGCATTTAGCAAATTTAGAGTGAGATCTGTAGGTTAACTAATAGTATTCCTGGTTTTGATAATTTTGCTATAGTTATATAAGATGTTAATATTTGAGGAAGATGACTGCTTTTTTCTTCAAGTATTTTTCTGTCCTATTTCCTCTTTCTCTTGACTGCTTGAAATTTTTTTGCAAATGCTTTTTATTTTTCATATTAGATAAACTCTGTGGATATGTCTTCAACTTAACATAAATTTTCTCCTGTCATTTTAATCATATGTTAAGCCCACCCACCGATCTTTAATTGAGATACATCTTTTATTTCTAAAATATACATTTGATTCATTTTTAGAATTTCCATTTCACTGCTGAGATTCCCCATCCATTCATTTTTATTTTTTTTAAACATTTTTTAACATATATTTTATTGATTTTTTACAGAGAGGAAGGGAGAGGGATAGAGAGTTAGAAACATCAATGAGAGAGAAACATCGATCAGCTGCCTCTTGCATGCCCCCTACTGGGGATGTGCCCGCAACCAAGGTACATGCCCTTGACCGGAATCGAACCTGGGACCCCTCAGTCCGCAGGCCGACGCTCTATCCGCTGAGCCAAACCGGTTAGGCCCCCATCCATTCATTTTTAATTATGATGATATTTTCCTTTTAAGTCCTTAAACATTTGTATAATAGCTGTTTTAATTTACCTGTCTGCTAATTCCTAGATCTGGCTCATCTTGTGGTTGGTTTCTGTTAATTGTATTTTCTTTGATACTGGATTATATTTCTTTGTATATTTAGTAATTTTTATTGTATCCTGGACAGTGTGTGGTACAGGATGGAGACCATGAATTTTGTTATCTTTCCCTGAAGGGTATTGATTTTTGTTCTAGCAAGTTGTTAACAGAAGTCCAAATGCTATCTCTCATCAGGTGAACATCAACTGAAATCTATGCTCAATCCTCTCAGCCTTCCAGCTGTTGCCTTTCACATATGCAGTTCAAGAATCAGCTAGGAATTTGGGTAGAGTTTATATATAGATCTGGAGGGACTCTTGTGGCTTCTTTCTTTCAGGGATTGTCCCCCTCACTTTCCAGCTATGCCATTAACCTCAAACTAGGTCGTCAAACAAGTAAGATTTTTGGATTTCTGCTTAAGTTCTAATCACTTCACCATATGAACTATGGAGTACTACCAGGTGGAAAGCCATTTCAATACGAATCCAACCCACTATAGTTCTTCCTTTCTTTCTTTCAAGATTGACTCCCATCCAGTTTCTGCCTGCTTTTGTCAGTCTATGGTGCTTTCAAATAGTTATTTTCAGACTACATAATTATTATCTGCAAAAGGATCAATCTAATATACTCTAGTCTGCCATTACCAGAAATTATACCATATTACTTTTTATTTTCTATTGATATTATATAGGATTGAAAAAAACACCTTTTACATTTTTTTGGTGAATCATGGCAGTAGCTCATCAAAATTTTATAAAAACATTAAGCATATTATTAATCTTATTTTTTCTTTTTCTCTTGTAGACAAGAGATGATTTTCTAGGTCAAGTGGATGTTCCTCTTTACCCATTACCGGTCAGTATAAATGTTTATGATTTTACCTTTTATGTTTATTGTTTTTACTTTAATAAATACATAAACATACACAATGTAATTAATATAAATATTTGATTTCTAAAATATATACTGATACCATTCCTTGAGTATATTATTTTCTGAAAACACATCTCAATTTTCTGTTTTAATTTTATCTCAAATGAACCCCAGTAAAAAACAGAGCCATTGAAGTTTGTTGACATGAAAACATTCTTTGAGAAAGATCAATTTGAAAATATTCTATTAAATAACTAGAATGGGGAGATAGGTTATAACAATATAGACATGAAATCTGGACCAAGCATATAACAATGGAGGAAAACGGGTTCAGGAAACATTTTATAATAAAACTGCATTGGACCAAATTTCTGACAGGAGGGTTAAAAATGAATAAAAAGTACAGATAATACAGGTTGAACGTGGGTGATAAGGGTGGTATCTCAAATAGAAAAGTTAGGAAGAAAAGCCCTTTTGTTTTGAAATACGACAGATATATTTATTTTTTACCATACTGAATTTCAGTAGAAAACAGGAAAAATGAAAACTTGAAAGTGGGCAGCTGACAGAGATGTGAAAATAAATTGTGTAGGGGAAGGGGGCAAGAAGAATTGAGAGAAATCAGTGTCAGTGAGGTAACAACAGAATCTCTGGGAATGATTGGCTGGCTGTCCAAGTAAGAGAGATGAAAGCACTAAAGGCAAACATTGACCCTTAGATGGCCTGAGTCTGTCCGAGGAGAAGGAGAAACAGACAAGGAGAGACAGCAAAAGAGCCAAGTGAAATAATGTCATGAGAATTCAAGAGTCCCACAACTGAATGGGCAGTTAACAATGCAAAATGCAGCCGGGAGTAAAGGATAATAAAAAAGGCTGCTGAACTGGATCAGAAAGAGAAGTAGTACTTCTTTACCATATCAGTTTTTTGAGATATTTTTGGCTTTCTACCACCTTCAGAGATTACAGGCTTTTAATAATACATTGAAGTCAGTCTTATTTTCCACACTGTTTACTTTTTCATTCTCCTAGGATTGTCTCTCTGCTCTAACCATGCCAACTTTCTGACATGGCATATTCCACTAGCCACTCTACTGTTTTTTCACTTCCTACCCTATTTTTGGCTCCACAACACACCTGTTCAGCTAGTTTTAGACTGAGTTGTGATGCCGGTTGCAAGTCCTATGGTGCAGAAAAGTGAAAGCACTATTGATTGTAACCATTTCATCTAAAGCTACTTTTTCCCCTCAGTTCTAACTTCAGTTATGTCTTAAATCATAGTTCATGAATAGTCTTGAAAAGTACATATTTTGGTGTTCTAGATACATCTTGAAAACCCACTGTTTTATTCTAGACAGAAAATCCAAGAATGGAGAGACCATATACATTTAAGGATTTTGTTCTTCACCCAAGAAGGTCAGTAACTATAAAATAATAACATTAAGTTTTTAAAGAATTTCTTTAAACCACTTTGAAAATTCAAAGTTTAAACCTTTGTAAATAAGCTACTTCTAAATATTTTATTATTTTTCAAAAGTTTTATTGTTATATCTGATTACAGAGTAATATATGCATAATACAGCAATTATATATATTATGTAATATGTATTATATAATATATACATAATACAGAAAAGTGATAACACCCTTTTGGGAAAGATTTGTCCCCCTAACACTTATCAGACTAAAATTTGTCCTTTTATATCGCTTTTATATCGTCAAGTGTACGTAATTTTGTCACACTATGCTTTAAAAAATCACAAACATCAGTTTATCTAAAACTACTATCTGACTTGACAGGCACAAAACCAATTTCAGAAAAACCTAACTACATGCTGTGTACTTTAATAAAAAAGGGTATTTCATAAAACTCAAATATTTAGAGAAAATAACATGAGTAAAAACTGGAATCTAAAACCCAAATCTCATTTTCCTAAACTAAATTACTTGATTTTTTTATCAAAATGCTGATGTTTTAAGCTCCTTTTGACCTTCTGTACCACATAGTCAAGTCTTGTCAGAACACATGTGAGGACTGAACTGTCCGGAAGGTCAGGGTAACGCAGAGAAAGGACATCTGTGAAAACAGTGCGTGCCTTGTTTTTAAAACTAGAAAATACATTTGAAAAGCATATGATGGGAACGTAGCAAATTTTTTTCCACTTAAAAATTATTTTTAAAAATTGCTCTTTGCAATATAAATATTAAAGAAAAAGGGACAGTGCTCTTTGGCTATTAATATTTACTTTCTCTAAGAGAAGTCACATATTTAAATTCTATAAAAGTCTTGGAATACAAATCTCTTTTCTTCCTTTAATTTTAGACTGATTGTGACATCTGCACACCAAGAATAACTAAATAAATATTCCTTATCTTATTTGATTGCCCTACTAGCCTGCTTTTCAATTTGTCAAATGCTTTCTAGTATCCTTACCTTTGAAAACTATAACAATTTACATCTTCTATCTGCACTGGATATTATTGCAAGTGCAGAAAGAACTTTATTCAGACAGAAAATGAACTATATTCCCAGATAGAAAATGAACTAAAGCCCCATTAAGTCCAAACCCACAGACTTACTATCTGGATGGAAAGATAGGAAACCTATCATTGCAGAGAAACTCTTCTATAAAACATTGTCAGGGCAAGATTTCTGTATCTGCCTTTTATAGCAATAAGTCAGTGTTCACAGCCCCTTAAATAGGGTGGCAGGCCACCGTTAGCGCCTTGGAAATCAGCATCAGGGATTTTATTTGCCACTCAGGAAAGGCCCACTTACCAAGCCCATGCGAACTATACACAGAGGAAGAACTAAAAAGATGAAGGGGTCACCGGGGAGGCATATTTCTTGAAGACAGAATAAAAGAATTAGGACTCTTGTCTAGAGAGACAAAGGCTAATTGGTAACATAACTGATATCTATAAAAATCACCGCAAAAAAATCTACATAGAAAGGTGGGACAAGCAAAGATTTCTTAAGTAAATAGGATGTTAAAATTGATGGGGGCAATAAGTCTTAAGTTCGAAGTTTAAGGAGAGCAGGTTTAAAACATTTTAATATTAATACAGCGGGTAGCAACCTTTAGCTTAGACACCTCATTATTCAAAGAGGTGATAACTATGAAAACAGTCAGGTAAATTGGTGTACGGCGGATTCACATAGCTGTCAAAGAAAGACGTAGTGTAACTCATTATTCAAAGAGGTGATAACAATATGAAAACAGATCAGGTAAATTAGTGTACGGCAGATTCACATAGCTGTCAAAGAAAGACGTAGTGTAGGATTCAGACGGGCGTCAGGCTTTGCTCTTCCCTTCTCCCATTATTTTACACAA